GGACGTTGCCTTCCGGTCCTACCGGATTTACGGCACCTTTTCTTCAAATACCCATAGGTAACACGCCCTTGGGACTAGCAGGCTGAGCTTTGGTATGTGGATTCCTTGAGGTCTTCTTCATCTTTAATGTACGAGTTTAGGGCCTCTATCTCGCACCGTTTAAGCGCTATCGCCCGGAAAAAGAACTTAGCGCGGAACGCAATTTTACCTCGTCTCCGAGCCTAACCGTCTTTTGGGACACTTGAGCAGCTTCTGCTGAGACCTCCTCGGCAACGTGCAGGTTGTCGAGACCTGACCACTTTAACTTGTCCAATCCCTGTTTCAAAGTTTTTAAGACTTTTGAACATTTTCCGCATGTTTACTCATTTATATCTTCAGAAGTAGACCGCAGTTTTTCCAACTCTTTGCAGCTACAAAGAGTCCCTTTTGTGGTGTCTCACTGACATAAGTGGGGTGAGTCAATTGCAGGCCATTCTCGAGATCTGGGAGGTTGAAAATGGTCAATAATTCTCAAATTGTCAATTTCTAAGCACAATCTGCGGTTTAAAAAAGAAGTCATTTTTCTCCCGTTTCCTGACATCTAGGTTTTATGACTCTGACTTAATCGTGTTGCTCGTTTTCTAAGCTTTCCAACGACAACAAACTCGTCTCCATCCGATAATAAATAAGAAAGTTATGAACTTTGGAAAATTCCAGTTTTTCCTTTACTTTTGCATGTATCCGTGACTTTCACTTTCCACTTTCATTTCATTTGACCTAGATTGGGCATGACCTAGATCGGGCATCTTCGCTTTTAGCCCTATCCCTAACCCTAACCCTAACCCTAACCCTAACCCCCTAACCCCCTAACCCTAACCCTAACCCTAACCCCCTAACCCTAATCCTAACCCTAACCCTGACATTTTTATAAAGGAAAAGGGTTCTTCAAATGTTCCCCAATTTAATGTGGATATGTAGTTTTAAAAATTATTACTTCTAAGAAATTTATGGGTTTTTTGTCTTTAGCATCCTTTATAACAGAAATTCTTCAAAACTGCTTGAAGAACTCCATGAGTTTAACTTATGGTAAGAGCCTTCCTTAGGTTAACAAGTGTATGGTTGATAGCAAATGCTTAATCAATATATTGATATTTAAGGATATTCAAGAGTGTATGATATTGAAACTTTAAATATGTACAGGTCAGGTAATTTGGAAATTTTGATCATCAAGATTACACAAACACTGTACTTTCACACTATAGTTTTACAAACATGAAAAGTTTGAATTACTAAGGATTAATCATAATGACATAAAAGACAAGACTTACAAAATAAATATTAAAATACTCAGTCCTCCAGCTTGAAAGTTTTTACAGATTGAAAGCCTGAGAGTCTGAAAGCCTAAAAGTCTGAAAGTCTGAATCTCAAGATTCAATATAAATTGTATTTTGAAGGATTGAAAGTCAGTATATGATTTTGCTTGTAAAACTCTCTAAAATAAAGGAGCACATTCAGTGACATATTATAGAAAGAGTAGGAGATTTTATAATTACCTTATTCCTTACAAATAAAGAATATCACTACGAGATCCTTATAATGAAGTTTTACTGTAGCAGGAATGCATTGACCTTTAACCTGAAAAGTCAATAGAGGTGTTAAGATATTCATGGACAACAATGGTATAGCAAAAATTGTGCTGATCTTTGACCTGAAAATCAAAATATATGAAGTTTGTTTAATTAACCTATCCATGAAGTTTGGTGAATATTAACTAAACAATTGTCCAATTAAACAAGATGTCCACATCTCTTTGACCTTTTGACTAAAAACTTAATAAGGTCATTTATTTACCTTTGTTTGACTTTGATGAGTATCTTATATGTTGGATATATTAACAAGACACAATCTAATCTGAGTAAAGAGGAAACCTGGAAAAGCTTTTATCCCTTTGTATGAACAAATTAATTGATGTCATGCAGATATCTTAACCAAAATATCAGAACAATCTGATGACCCTTAAATATAAAGTTCTCATTATACTAGTCAGAAACTATTAGTCTACCTGTCAAACAAAAAATTTGAATGTCAACTCAACAAAGTAAGTAGGGTTCCTTTTCTTCAAAAAGTAAAATTTTGATGGATTGGGTGAGTGTTTGTTACTTTATGCCTATAAAGAAAAATATATGCCCTCCATTTTGACTGTATGGATTAAGAACTGTTTATATAATTGAATCAAACTTATTTCTTTCATGTCATTCTTAATGTCATAGTACCCATCATTCATAATATGTACAAGTCTCAATCCTAATAGATGAATCCACATTTTGTTTTTATTTCACATCACTTGGCGGCCATATTTGAGGGAAACTCAGAATTCTCTGTCCATGTTAATTTATGGTGTATACCTTCATCATTTGACATAACTCATTTGCTTTTTGTATTTTGATTGCCTAAATCAGAGCTATTCATACATAGAAACAGGACTAAAAATGAATACAGTGAATTTATGGCAATAATACCTACATGTTTGATACATAAAGAGAAATATATTTTTTCATTTCTTTTTTACCTTTGGATTGACCCTGAATAGAGATACCATTTATTACTTTTTGGCAAGAGTAAACTATATACTGCTTGACTAAACATGGTTTGTATATTGAAATATGAAATGGTTTCTTTAATGCTTAAATCATTATACTCCTACTGTCCTAGTGAGAATTATGCTCAATCAACTTTGTGAAATATTCCCAACTTCCAATGCTTCTTATTTACATTTAAAAAAAAAAACTGACTCAAATAAAATTGTTTGTTTTCTCATTTATTTTACAAGGAATTACATGCTAACAGTGAATCTAATCATTTTTTAAACTGGTTAAAGTAATGTTTACAATTGTCTAAAAATGCTCAAATGCAAGTTTATTTCATAAACAAATACCTTAAGTGTATAGACTAAATGTACTTATAGATTCAATATATAGACTAACCCCTTATAAATAGTAAAAATCATTTCTTAAACCTGATTTTCTTACCTATTCTCTCATGCATTACCTAATTTGAGTTGAGTATTCTCAAATTATTGATTACATGAACAAACAAATTTAAGACAAAACCACAATATATGCTGAATGCCCTGAAATGAAATGGTTACATATGTAAGATGTGTAACACATCATGTACAACTTTTAAGTCTACAAAATTTTAAGTTAACCATATTATACAATAAGACTACTTTTTTCAAAGTTATGAGAAATTCTCCACAAAAAAATGTATTTATGCAAAAGATAAATGTTAGGATACAATTTTAAAATACATTTTACATGAATCACATAGAGAACATATCAAATCATTTCTTTGTGGTTGTTTTCCATTGGAACATCTGTGAACAAACATTCTGTTTTGTCTTTTTTTATTGATACATAAAAAGCGTCCAAAAATCATTTGGAATTGTTGTGTTAAACCCTGATAGTCAGAATTTAAAGAGTTTCTGATGTGTGCACTACTTAGAAATGTTTACAATGTAACAAAGATGAAACTCATAATTGATTTAATCAGCAATTATAAAGTCATCAGGTTTACACATGCTTTTCTAACACATCATGTACATTTTTTTTTCTACTAGTATGTCTTTGTTCACAAAAAATTGAAATCAACAGTACTTAGCATTCCATATTAAGAAATATGAACCCTAGCTGTTAAAAAAATCTAAAAGTATATTTGTGCATCAATGCAATATGTTTAACAAAACAATCTCTTTCACTGTGATGAAAATTGTCTTCTTCATATAACATGCAGATGAAGAACTTCTTTGGATGATGTCATTTTCACATGTAGAAAAGATACCTAATTCAACTAAAACTAAAAGACAGTCATTAAAATTTTAAGGACAATAAAGGATGATATCAAGACCGAAGTCCAGGAAATGCTAAAACTCTACAATTATCATCCAAAGATGTATATGTTTGGATTTATTATTTAATTCACAAGCAAATGATATGCTACCATTTAATCTTTCAAACTTAAATTCTATACTTTTGAATTAAAAATTTCAGAATGTAGAGGAGTCTTCCCAATACCTATCTACATGTATTTATGACTGAAAGTATGTAAATCACCAGAGTTGCTGTACTGCACCATTTGAATAAAAGTCATATCCACATTCTTGACTTTTTTCCCTAAACCTTATTTCAAAACATAAATTATTCCAACCAGTCTTTATCTACGCAGTGATAATAAATTTTTTACAGAATTCTAAGGTATTACATAGTAATAGTCATATAAACACCCTTGAACATTGTACATTTGATTAACATTTCAATCCTTTCCTAAGAATTTGCACCTAATTTTTATAAAGTCTATAAGTTATCACACAATGTTTAAGTTATTGCATTACAGGACTCAAATCAGTAATCTCAGTTAGTAACTAACTTTTACCCAGGAGTAAATGATCCAAAAAATCTATAGAAATATCTTATTGATTCTTCATCTGTGTACTTATGATGTGAAGTTTGTAAGTTACAAATTATTGTCAAAGAAGTCATCTCAATAATCTTATGCTTTGACCTTGACAAAGTGTGCTAAACAACAAAGTGTATTCCTACAATCATTCTATATGTAATTAGTATGATGAATATGGTATGATAAAGATATTCAAGATATTATTAAACCACAGATTATGGGACACTTGCATCTTTATTGGGGGTCTTATTGAGACCAATTTTAAATTCAAAATTAAACATGATACATACACAAACAAAATATATTTACAATTCCAGGAAAGTTAAATAATAACATTAAATCCAGCATCTGAATATCTGTGTAATTTCTAGGGGGTTATAGAAATAAGATGAAAAATAAAAGGTTTAAATGTGTAATTCCCATACATAACAACAGTCATCAATATGAATTGGTCAAAATAAAAGTCACATTCAGATACTTTGAGGTCCGTGAGAAATAGTTTTTAAAGAGCTCATGCTATCAGAAATCATATTTTCAATACTTGATTTGACTAGATCTCAGTCTGATAAATAGCTACATGTTATCCATACTCAGTGTCTGACAGTAAAAGATACAATCCTGGGTCCTTTCTTTGTCATCCTGTAAACCACAGTCTATGATCGTACTTAAATTGGTTGGAAATCATATTTATCTATGTTCTTCTTAAATCCCCCATCCTGTTTGTTTTTCTTGTTTCAGTGTTCCAAGAGAGGATATTCTGTTAGTCTTTGCTTAATCTGATAGTCTTTCACCATTCTGAGAGTAGATATAGATCATTTCCATAAGCCCTCACTAGAGAATCCTGGAAAATAGAAAAAAATAATGTCTTAGTTGAAAAAAAAAAATTGTTATATAATATAAGCTTGATGGAATTCTAAATATAGACAAAAAAGGGTATAAATACAAGGTGTAACATCAGAATTTGAATTTCCATATTAACCATGGGTAACACCTCCAGTAAAGAAAAGAGTAAAGGAATGAGTAAAATTCAGTTTGGAGAGAGAGTTCTTTTAGAGAAAGATGTAGACAGAGGTATACCAAATAAAATAAAAAAAAAAAGATGGCACTATTGAGATCATTTCTCAACAAGAATATAGCCAATTAAGTCCAAAGAAGGGTGATCCTAATGTTGTCAGAGATTACATAGAAAGACCCTTGATTGCAGAAGAAGCCAATGAGGAATATAACCATTTATTACCAAAACAGGTTAAGAATTACTTGGATTACCCTGAAAGACCTTTGACTAGAGAAGAAGTCAAGTTTATAGATAATAAGAGAAAACAGTTGTCAGAAAAAAAAATGTTGTTAAAGACACATGAATTTTAGCCCACAAAACCATTGGAGAAGATACAAGGATTAATGGAGGAAGTCCAAACTGAACTCTTGGAGGACATTAAGGCTTATTATGAGAGTAACTTTTCCAGTATTTGTTTATTACAAAATTATGTATTCTAATAAAAAAAAAAAAGTTTTCACTTTCATTTGTTGTGCCTTAGACCATTTAAATTGACCTTATGGTTAAGATTGTGATACACACTCTGATAATCATCTATGATGTCTCTATCATGTTTACCTCAAAAGATTGAATCAGGGTATTTGTGTTCAAAGAGCTGAAAAAACTATACAGACAGATCTAAGATTTTGGAAGCATACATATTAATGGGTTTAAATGAGATATAACACTAGATTATTAAAAAGAAAGAACAAAAACTCATAGAAATGATATTGAAAGTACCTTTTATGAATAAAGTGTCATGCTCCAAGGTATATTTTTTATAAACAGGAGAAGGTTTACAACAGTCCATGCACTCATAAGAAGATCTTGGGTAGTAGAAACACCAGGGAATTTTAATTCCACACAATCAGATTATCTTACATCAGTTATAAGGTTACAGTCTTTATACATAGTTAAGAGGGTCATTAAGATTTCTTTTCTGGTCATCCTGATGTGCTACATTATAGTATTCTTTCCCTGTGATATAATGTTAATATTAAATGAGAAATTCAGAATTCATCAGCAATTGGAGTCAAAACTTGCTATCTTTACCAACTATGATATTAAGGAAGCTAGGGGGGGGGGGGGGGGTTACAAATTAGTCATATTTAACTTATTCTATAGATATGCTATCTTCAGCTGTTAACTAACATTTGGCAAAGAAAACTTTCATACATTTTAGTTTCAAAATTTGATCATGCATTTTTGTATATATATTGAAATGGAGCTCTTCTTCTTCTAAAGGAGATCAATATAGTCTAAAAAATGACCATGACCACCAAGCCCTTTTTATTTAAATATATCATTTACATATCAATTTAAAATTATAAACATGCATATGTAAAAAAAAAAAATAAAAAAATAAAATAATAAATATATATATTACAATTGTATCTCATTGAAACTTTACCTTCAAGTTTGTGTGTTTCTATGTTGGTTGACTAACTGTGTATTTCCAAAGGAAGAGCAGACAGTCTGAACTTCATAGAGAATGGATTATAGATGGTTAGGAACAATACATATCTTCCAGGTTGAGGACTGTATAGAAAATAAAACCATTTTGTTAATATGACAGAGTACTGTGTGAAACAATGCATGTTTAAAAATTGAACAAACATGTACAATGCCAAAAAAGTTCATGAAAATGTTTGTTTTTAATCTCAAAACAAATTGTTTTTAACATTAACTCCAGATGAGAAAAGTTCATCATGTTATCTTTAGATAATAAAAAAAAGCACAATTACTGTATTGATATCACAAATAAAATGATTATCAAATTAATTATTTAGACACTAAAAGATTTTTTATTAACAGCAGATTCAATTTTGTTTAATATCTGTCAGTACTGCATACAGAAAAATACACCTTTTTTTAGCATCATCACAGTACAACATGTAGTCCTTAATTTTTTGAAAAGCTCATTACTAAGAAACAAAAGTGAAAATATATGAATATATATATTTAGAATCAAAACAAAAAGTAAATAACTTAGGATTAATCCATATATCTCTTTGATCACCACATAATGATTTAAATTATATCAAAACAAAAAGTAAATAACTTAAAAAAACAATAGCTTCTGATTTGATTGACAGACCAGCTACCCGTGCTACCTGATAGTTGTAAATTCCTGGTCCTTTTCTGTAGCCGCCTTGTATATAATTAGATTCCTAATTAATATCTCTATTTGTATCACCATTTAGTAAGTCTCCGACATTCCATGGCCAAATTGGAATATGGGATAACATACATAATGAATTATGAAATTATATCAATCTATGTTATACAAAAGGACTTATTAATATTCTGAAAAAGATATATAAAGCTAAAGATCCCTTAATCATGTGTTAATATATTTTAGGTTAAATAAGGGTGTGCTTATATGAATGTATAGTTAGAGACAACAGATCACATAAAATTTCGTATTACACAGTAATTAAATTAACCATATAATCATGCTTAAATGCAAAGATGACCTTCATAGGAAATGTAAACAATTAAAAAACAAGACAAACTTACCAGAGATATCCAAATATATGCCCAATAAGTCTATCAATTAAATAATCCAGTGAATTATAACCATATAATCATGCTTAAATGCAAAGATGACCTTCATAGGAAATGTAAACAATTAAAAAACAAGACAAACTTACCAGAGATATCCAAATATATGCCAAATATATGAAAGTCTATAATTAAATAATCCAGTGAAATAACATCTCAAAAAAAAAAATCATAAAATTCAGTGATACACAATTAACCTCATTTTACAATGTAAGTAAAGCAATAATTTACAGATAAAGGGGACAGAAATGTAAAAGATACCATGTATTTTACCAAAATTTAGAGAACATTTTTCTGATTTAAATTCAATATCATAGAATGACCCATCATAGAAATATTAAATGCACTCTGAGTTACATGCAGGTTATACAACTGTAAATCACATGAAATGAGGATAAATACAGTATTGACATTCAAAATAGAACTTTACATAATTATGATTAAATGCAAAGATGACCTTCACAGGAAATGTAAACAAAACAAAGACAAACTTACCAGAATTATCCAATTATATGCCCAATAAGTCTATCCATTAAATAATCCAGTGAAACAACATCTTAGCTGATCCTGAAAAAAAGCATACAATATTCAGTGATACTCAATTTAACCTCATTTTACAAAGGAAGTAAAGCAACAATTGACAGATAAACAGGACAGAAAAACATGTTTAAATGTAATGCAAAATAATATCTCTTATATATGGATACCTATACTCTAATCAATCATATTAAATGTCATTCGTAAAATGTATTTTTTAAGACAGATTTATTTAGGATCGACTTTTTAAATGATAACATGAATAGCACGCCATACTTTAACCACATGTCAAAACATTCTCTCAAATTACACAGAAATGGGTTATTTAGCATAGCTGACATTAAACATATAGGTGAGCGATAACATAATCACAATCACAAACAATGTGAAACAACTTTAAACGACCTACACTGTGGATTACAAGCCTTTTTCACTGGGGTAAAATCTTGCCGAAATTCGCCATGGCCGCCCGAAACCCCGAACCCGACTGTATGAAAGATGAAGTCATACAATAACATAACACTGATGTAGTATTGCATGATTTTTTTTTAATTTTATTTCTTAAAAACTATAAGGGGAGTTTACCAAAAAAAAAATTAATAAGAAAAAAAAATTAAAGTTATTTTAAAAAAGTTAAAAAAAATTTGTAAAGTTAATTTTAAAAAAAGTTTAAAAAATTTAAAAAGAAATTCTAAGTTTTTTAAAAAAGTGACCTGGTGTTATAACTTGAGAGATATAACACACATGATTTTTGTATTGTGTGTTATTTGTTATTGTCTTTCAGTAAAAAATTCAGTTCAAACCGGTTAGGCTGGCTTGACTAGGCTGTCTAGACTGTAAATGAAAAAGTGTGACGTCATAATCACATTGTATTTATACAGTGAATGACGTCACAATGCATAGGTAAGTTTATCGTACTTTTTGCACACGGCACTTTACAGATGATGCAAACAGGTATATAAGAAAACACAGGTAAAAGTATATTTCTTTTGCACACGACCCCTAATGTTTTGCACACGGCACTTTATAGAGGATGCAAACAGGTATAAAAACGCAGGTAAAACGTATTGATTCTTGTTATAATCTGTCTTGTGTGTGTGTTATTTGTTATTGTTTTCAGTAAAAAAAAAATCCAGTTTGAACTGGTTTAGGCTAGGCTGAGCTTTAGACTGTGAATGAATGCGTGACGTCATAATCACATTCTTGAAATGTTTTGCACACGGCCCCAAAGTATTTTACCTGTATAGTTAGCATAAACAAAACGTAGTACCAACGTATAGTGTATAATGTAAACACAGTGTAAACACGCCCCGTATTTAGGGGATAGGATAGGTTAGGGTTCAAAGGGGTTAGGGTTAGAGGGGGCTAAGGGGGATAGGGTTAGTTAGGGCTAGGGGGTTAGGGTTAGGGTTAGTTAGGGCTGGGGGGTTAGGGTTAGTTAGGGCTAGGGGGTTAGGGTTAGTTAGGGTTAGGGGTAGTTAGGGCTAGGGGGGTTAGGGTTAGTTAGGGTTAGGACTGCACTCAGTTGACCCCCCTATCCCTACCCCAGGGGGGACTGTACTGAGTTGACCCCCCTATCCCCCCAGACCCCCCCAAACCTGCACTCCCTTGACCCACCTATCCCCTCAACCAATCAAAACTGATCACGTGATTTCTCTCAGCCAATCAGAATCTTCCCCTATCGGGAATGCTTATACTACTCTTGTCTGACCAGAATATCTTGAGTATTTTACGGAGACATCTTGTTTGGAAGGTGTCAGACCCATAGAGACGGACTCCAATGATATTTGCTTTAAATATCTTTATTGTGGTTTTGGTTCTGTTAGTTGAATATTTCTAGTTGTTCCATAAATGAGCAAAGGTGGTACGGGCTTTTGCAATTTTATCTACAATGTCCAAGGTGGAATCTCCATTGGCTGCCAAGGTACATAAAATTGTCTTCTTTCTCTATTCGATTGTCGTTTGCTGTGACTTCCTTATCTATCTTTGTATTTATCTTCATTAACTTTGTTTTGCTTACAATTATATTTAGTCCAATTTGCCTGCTATACTTGACCAGGTCATCAGTTATGCTCCTTAAATTCATATATCGCAGTGCTAGTAAAGCAATGTAATCTGCAAAGTCAAGATCTTCCAGTGACTGTTGAAATGTCTAAGAAATTCCCCCGTTAGCCTTACTAGTAGTGATTTTTTATAAGCCAGTCTATGCAGAAAGTAAAGAGCTATGGTGAAAGTTTGGATTCGGTCTGTTCTGTGCCGCAGATCACATTTGCCTGGAGAAACTTGTATATTGTCTGAATAATGGAAATGATTTTGTTAGGGTTGCCAAAATGTCCGAGGATTTTACAGCCTTGTGTTCCATTCATTGCTCTGTTCCAAAATTTTCCTCAAGGAAAATATCTGGTCTGTGTATGAGTTCCTAGGCAGAAATCTACTAGTCGTCTACCGTTATTGTTTATCACATGACAGCCATACTAGTATTTTCCCATTATGGTGTCTTCCTTCATTGATTGTGCCAACTTTTGCATTGAGATCACCAAGTATAAGTAGAACATCATGATCTGGTGTTTCCCCCGCACCTCTCTTCAATTCTTCATTAAAGGAATCAGTTTCTTCTTCGTCATTGTCTTTTGAAGGTGAGAAGCAGACTACAACAGTCAGCTTAGCATATTTTGAATGGAATTTTGCAGAAAGAAGTCTGTCGCTGTATGATTTCCAACCTAACACGTCCTACCCTAGTTTCCTACTGAGTATTAAGCCTACTCCATTGCCGTGCTGTTCATCGTTTCTTCCCGAGTAAAGTATTGATAACCAGACAAAGTGTTTACGAGTCCCGTTTCACATGTACCTAGCATTTGGGTGTTATACCTGTCCATTTTAGGAAATGAGTCAATTTTTCTGTCTGGTAAAGCGTGCGGAATATTCCAGCAACCACATCTATATACATCTCTAGGATATGGAGAACGTCGTTCGTATACTAGTAACTATATGTAGAGTTGACGACCACATCAAGTGTTGTCCTCTTATCATGTTGTAAATTTTGCATTTACCTCCCCCTAGTAAATTCAAAATTTACAACATGATACTCTTCCAATATATAAGGTTTGAATAATTTTAAAAAAAGGTCTGCTAATAACGAGGCAAAATTAATATTTACGGGACTTCTGACAGATTGTTGCATTGGAAGACTTAGTCTCCAAAATCTACCCAAATATTGTCAGTTAGTAACTCAAGCATCATTTTAAAATCAACTTCAGAGTACTTGTGTATACAGCCAGAATGGTATTTTACTGAATAGAAGTTATAGTCCAGAATATGCATGTGACCTAAAAAGAACGATTGAAACTTCTTTTCCAATGGAAACTTACAGTTTCAAAATTTGAAAGCTGAAAAGTTGATATCACCTATTCGAATTCTAGTAGATGATGTCTCGCATAACTACCTGGAAGATTTTTTTCATAAGAAAAAGAGTAGATTATGACTAATACTTAGACAGAAAACAGTTGAAAATCAATTGTGTTACCAAATTGCAAGCTTAAATCTCTGGGTATGTTGCCTTTAGGATACTGGGTCGAAAAAGGACGGATATATCAAAACTTGAATGCAATCTCGGGGACGTAAATAAATGTGTGCATTATTGAAGGGTTTTGGCATTCATTCATATTCAAGTGTGCAATAGAGGGCTGCATTTCCTGTTGAGGAGTGGAGAACTGAAATCATTCACAAATCCTGAAGTACATCCAAACAAAACATAACCCTGTGTCCTTCTAACGCGGACTTCCCTGGGCAAAGGCAAAAGTAGCATTATAAATTGAAAATTATTGTTGCTAAAAAATGCAGATTAAATTTCGTAAATTCACAAATCTAAATGATGTATTTGGTCGAAGCTGATCCCCAGTCTCAATGTAATCGTGAGAAAAGATTTGTTTCCGTGTGTGTTTGTGTTAAATTGGTCAGGAAACTTAATTTCTATATATAAAGGTTGACTTTCAGCCTTGTAGCTGAGATGGGAAAGGATGTCAACATACTCGTGGGTAAGTCATTCTTCTGTCGGAGTATGCTAGATGGTAGTGAGACGGGGTATTAAAGTCGAAAAGACTCTATTGTGCTGAATTACCCCTTAAATTAAAGATGTTGATTATTTCTTCAAAGTTTTGCATATTCTCTTTGGTAATGTGTCGATATGTGGCTCATTTCTTTGAAGCACAGATCTAAATATTTTTGCCATCTGGCGCAATACGAAATGATTGCAATTCGAATTTTGGCATTCAAAATTGGGTCAATTTTTTAAGGAAATTTGTGTCAGATAATTCAATGAAAACCATGCTTGTTTTTGTTAAATTGCTGTGAAAATAATAAAAATTTATTTTTGACACCATGCTTCAAATGAATTGAACATATTTTATTGACAAATGAAGACAAATGGATCGGGCACAATTAGTTCAGTAACTTAGATAGTCCTCTCCTAATACATTTTGTAAAATTGCCCCCCCCCAAAAAAAAAAAAAACATAAATACATATGGTCTACTACATACAGTGTATACATCGTAGTGTAGAAAGGGAAAAAAATAAATTCTTTAAATGTATGAATTATGTTCAAAAATCTTTTTCCATAAGAAAAATATTTCTGAGGTTTGCAGATATTTTTTAAAAATTTTGATAGAAGTTGCCTCCCTTGTTTTAAGACTAAGGGAATTCCACTTTCTAACAGTATCTTCAATGCTTCAATTAACAATGAAGATCTTTATCCTGTGCCAGTGGAGAACTCAGATCCGTAATGCTTGACCTTACGTTTATCTGATTGGCAAAACATATGAAGTTAAGTTGGAAATATTGACTTATTGTATTGCGCATTTCACTAAAATATTCGGTGATTTGCAAAATCATTTTGTTAAAACATTCTGATTGTACACAAAAGTATTCTCAAGTTTCTATTCAAAAGATGCTTTGAGTTTCAAATTGACTACAATTGTGTGGTTTTGGGAGATCAGGTCTTCCAACAATCTGTTAGAATTCCCATCGGTTCCAGTTGCGCCCCGTTATTAACAGGCCTATTTGTGTATTCACATGAAGCAGAATTTATTCAAGGTCTAATATATGAGAAGAAAAAAACCACTTGGGTTGACCTTTTACTCGATATCTAAATGAAGGATATGTAGATAACGAACTGTATTCAATATCAAAGTCCATAAAAATAATACAAAAAATACGAACCTCCAAAACATCAGAGGTGGGATCAGGTGCCATGGAGGAGTGGGCATCCCCTGCCGACCGGTCACACCCACCGTGTGCTCCTTGTCATGATCGGGAAATAACGGAAAAATCCGTCGTCAATTCAGTGTATAAATAATGGACTAACAATTTGTATGAAAAACGTCAGTCAGCATTTGACTCAATGATAAATTGTATTTGCTGACAAGGTCATGGTATCGACCACAGAACTTACGAAATGATGACTTTAAACGAGACTGCTTATA